GGGAATCCTGCCCAGCCACTGTTTCTCTCCCATCCCTTCTGTATCTCTTCTGCCCCCATGCTTGTGTTAGCCTTTCCTCCTCTCTAGACATCTCCCACACTCACACCTGTGGAATGACCTCATCTTGGAGTCCACGTCCACATCCACATCTCTCACCAAGGGAAAGTCCCATCCCCCTGGAGAGCCCAGTGAAGATGAACAAGTCCTGAGCCTGACCTCCAGCTCTGCAGTGCCAAGCAAGGGCGAGGGAAGAATGGTGCACACCTGGGAGGAGGGATAGAGCTTGTTTTCCTCCCAGCTAAAAAATTCAGCTTTTCCTGCTTGCCTGCTTTAAAATCAGTAATAAGCCTGGATTTTGTGGGGGAGGAAGAAAAGGTATTACATTTTAGCAAAGAGAAGAATGGGTGTTTGTGAGATATTTACTGCGTGGGTCAGAAGAACCACAGGGGCTGAAACTGCAGGTGATTCCCCACTCTGGGGAATGTGTAATCCTCCATATAAAGCAGGACCCCTGGCTCATTCCCTTCCTCCACTTGTCCCTCCTGGCTATTCAACTTACAAGCTTTTGAAGGCAGAGACTATCTGTACAGGTCTAACGCAAATTCTGGGAGGTTTTCATTTGACTCTTTACAGCTATCTGGGGGGCAAAAAGGAAACTCTGCTTTAAGAACACACAACATAGGTCAGAGACATAGCAGCTCGACTAAAGGAAAAAGAGATTAAAAGGCTTTGCCAAAGTCATTCCATTAGGGACTGACATAATTGAAGCATCCCCCCTGCCATATCCTCATGTGACAGTCATGGAGAGATAAAAAATAACCTGCTACAATGACAGAAGCAAACGAACCTCTTTCCATACAGAAGACTCTACAGCCTTTAATGACTTACGTTGGATGTGAAAGGCATCTAACTCTCTGACTGTCTCCTCACAAATATAAATCCATTCATGCCTCAGATCTGGGCTTGTGAGCTGCTGACTAAAACCAGACCAGAACCTTTCAGGCCAAAACAATCACTGCAGCAACTCTACTGACTTTAGAGCTGTTAAACTGCAGAAGGATTGGACTGGCTGCTTTTAATTGTAGTCACAAACCCAACTGCAGCCTGATGAGCAGAAAATAAGATGCTATCAGAACCATGCACTCCTCTACCTTGCAGAAGAGAAAACATGCAGGAGCCAAGAGCCTTAGCTGGACTGATCCCAAGGCCATACTGTTTGGAGGACTGGGAATCTGGAACAGCCCAGATGTCTGTGCTCTGTTTGCACCAGCATCAGGTCTAAAGAACTGTGACATCCAGGATCAGTTCAGCATCAGGTGATCTGCTCATTAATTTCATCTATAAATCATGTTCCTGCTTTTAAAATGGCAAGGACAATAAAACACAAAGTAAAAGGTATGAAAGACACACAGACACATACAGTGAGGGAAAATGTTTGCAAAGACAATGTTCTAAGTATAAAATAAATTTACAAAACTATACAGAGGGCATGTAACAGTCTTCTCATGAGAGTCGTCAAAGAAGAGATCATCTGTACTGCCATACAAACTTCAGGAGCTTAGGAACTTTAGTAGAGGCTGGCAAAATGTAGTAAAGGACCACCTAAATCATCACCAAAATACAGTCACTTTGCGGAGGAATTCAGCATCTTACTCACCAGTAGCACTCAGCAGTTAAGGTTCCTCTTTAAATCCCCAGCACTTAAGCATGTGCTGAAATCCTAGCACATGCTTAAATCCTTCAATATTTATGAATGGTTGAGTCCCTGACTAATGAAACAAAAAAGATAATTTATGAATGTTCGGTCCTTCTTAGGAAGATTGGAGTTAAATATGCAGATCTACTACTAGCGTCTTTCAATGTTTAAATGCAAAAGAAACCAAGTGCTAAGAATTGGTATACCTGTTGTCTCCATGTTAGGATTTGCAAAAGCTTTATAGGTATGAAAAATGAAGCTGAATCTGATGAACAAAATAACAAAATTCTCATTATAATTGACAGGAACATACACATAAATGCTTATCTATCTGTGTATCTGGAATACACAGTACCTGGTATATAAAAATTTTATTGCCAAATTGAATACTAAATAGTAAGTTAAGCTGACAGAAACATAAAGATCAGCATTAGATGGCAACCAAAGGAAGGGAGAATTTCAGCAGGAAATTGCTCACTACCCCATTGTAGTTTTAGGGGAATTTGAGGGATACATGGGAATCACTGGGGCATTTTGACAGTGTGGCTATATAAATCCTGGGGGCATTTGGGTCCTGATGAAGGACGTGGCCCTTTTATTTTCAAGGCAACATCCAAGCTGATCTCAGTTGTGAGTACTGAGCCCTTGGACATTTCTTTTGCTAAGAACTCAGCAGAGGAGAAAATGGGTTTCTAGGTGGAGGTTTTGAGGAGAACAGGAGAGAGGTTGACAGGCTGTTCTAGGTGCTGTGCTGTGGTACTGCATTGTAGTGTAAGACTGGGACCAGAGGAAAGGAGCATAAGGCAGGAATCAACCACGAGGAGCAGAAAGGCTGCAGAAGGCCTCCTCCGTGAAGGTCCAGTGTGGCTTTGTTGGGCAGAGCATCTTTCTGCCTCAGGGCCAGGGCTGCCCAACAAGGGCTGTATCAGGACATGTGGACATGGTGCAGTGGCTGCCCTCAGACGGCAGGGACTTAACCAAGACCCAGATGTCTGGGGACACAAGAGGGAAGAAGCTACATTAGGAGGCAGTTTGGAGAACATCTCCACAGCATTTGAACAGTTTGGCCGACACACAAGAGCCATCAGAGGACTACTGGCCTCACAGAGCATTCGAAGTGCCAGCTGACTGGGGGCTCACTTCCCCAGGCTTTTCACTCCCCTTTAGGTTTCTTGGAGTGTGTCTCTCTCCGGAGGCCCCCCTCCTACCCCAGCAGACACACAGCCCGGGGCAGCCCTCACAGTCCCTGCCAGTGGCGCTTCTCTTGCCAGCTGGCCAGGGCAGCCGATGGGCAGAGGCAGCTGACTTGCTCCTGAGATGCAACGGTCGACAGGCATCACCATCATAGACACCAAGGGATGCCCTACCTGGTGTCCCCCATGGCCAGGACGGGTGGGAAGCCACTGCCCTGTTGGTTGGAGCTACCCAGCAGCAGGAAGAAACTCTGCAGATGGCAGAGGGCAACAGATTGCAAGCAAACACAAGCTCCATTTGATAGTTCTAAGAGCCAGATTATTCTAAATCAGATTATGGATAAAGTACTGATTGCACTCACCTGAAAAGTTGGTCCTACTTGTGAAGATAATGCAGTGTTTTAGTCTGCCTCCAAATCCTGGTCAATCTGGTTCTTCCATGGACAGAAATGCTTCTTCATAAACTTTGCCTGAAAATGAAGCCATCAGCTGTGTTGTTCTGCATGGGTCCCACAAGTTTGGAGTGTAACACGATGGTTTCGCTCAGGAGCCTTGACTGGTACTGCCCATCCCTGCTGGGTTTCCTATGGATCCCTGCCCTTAGGTGCCTGTAGTGCAGTGCTCCTGCATCTCCAAACGGAAATACACACCTCTGTTTAAGGAGCCTAGATACAAAACCTTTCCTGTCTCAGACAGGGAGGATTAAGTCCCATGAGCCTGATGTCAGGTCTGTCCCAATCAAAATACTGAAATCAGCCAGGGAACTTGTATTGTCTCTTGATACAAATTTTGGATCTTCTTAGATTGGGTGGAAATCACTCATGGGAAAGAACAGTACCTTATTCAAAGGCATGGCGAGAGCTGCTGTAGGAGCCCCCGCATGAGGGGTACAGAGATCTGCAACATGAGCAATGCAAGGCCCAGGCCTTCTATGCTTTCAACATAAGCTGCTAAAAATGGGCCCTTCTTTCAGCCCAGAGGCCAGGAATTGAAAAAGGAAAAATCCCATCTCCCTGTGCCTGTGCTGCCACCTCCCTCTTTCTCCTCTGCTTGTGACAGACAGCTCAGGCTGGGAAGACACGGTGCCGAGGTGAGAGAGAGTGTGTGTGTGTGTGTACGCGCACGCCTCTTGGTGCGATTCCTCCTTCCTTGCCAAAACATCTCCTGCTGTTTATTTATTTATTTCTCCCTGATAACGGAGGGGATCGCGTTTCCGGAAGAGTGCCAGCAGATGATACGAGCCCAGGACTGATACTGCCAGCAAACCCATGCCAGCCCTTTCTGCCGGAAAAATTTCATTTTTTCCAGAAGGAAGCCATGAGTGTGAAGCAGAATCCAAATCCGATTTCTCGGCATTTTTTGTTATCACTCAGCAGCCCACCAGGTGGGGCAATGGAGGGAGCTCACTCAGCTGCAACTCAGCGCCTTAATCCAATTTACAGCTTCTCTTGGAGAGATAATTACAGTCCTGAAACCAGTTAGCACTGTACAAAGAGGCTCTCGAATCAAAGCCCCGATCCTGTCTTTCAAATATTTACTCAGAGTGTCAGGGATGCTTTAGAGAGGGAGGGGGGCACTTGAGCTAAGCTATTGTGAATGCAGAAGTGTGTACAAAATGCCCCACCCTGCACACATGCGCCTCACTCGCACACTCACACAGGTTTCCTGAAGCCCCATAGAGATTGACAGTGTGGGACTGTCACCCCCTTGTTCTCCAGCTCTGGACAGTCAGGCAGTGAGAATGTGGTTAACTCTTTCCCTGGTCATCACCACACCCCTCTCCCATTAAAGCCACTCCTGCAGCCACCCCAAGGTAGCCAAACCTGTTCAGATTCCCCCAGTGATCAGTGATAGCACTTGATTTAATACTAAGGCACAACCTCTCTTTGCAAAGACACCATAGGTTATAACATCTCACACACCAAGTGTGCCACACCTGCAGTTGCTTGCATTTCACAGCAGCTGGGCCTGCTGCACACCCCCTTTTCCCTCCACTTGGCCCTCACACAACTGGCCAGACAAGTCTAAGCTTCAAAAGAGGAGGTGTCTGAGGCACTGTGTAGCAGGGCAAAAGTCATGCAGGAGCAGCTATGCTCTACGCAGACATCCAAACCCCATCCTTTTCAGCATCCCAGCTTTCCCACATTGCAAGACCCATGCCTCTCCTGTCACCATCACAGCACTGCCTTGTGCACCTAGAAAGAAAACATTTGAGGAGCTCACTAGTGGTAAAGTCTGTGTGGCAGACACCTTTGCGATTTCCTGTTGTATTTCCACAGTGATGTGTGGGAAAGGCGACAAGCAGCCAGGTGATACTTAGTGATGGACATACTGGACTCAATACGAAAATTATCAAGGATGAAGCTTGAGGATTCTGTGGGTTTCCTTAAGCCACATTAAGTAACTTGTAAACTGTAAATTAACCTCGTATGACTTAAAGATCTTGATCTTCATCACTCTGATGTAATTTGGGAAGATCTTCTTTGCAGGTGATTTTTAGTCTGCCTTGCATATCCCAGAGATATCCTTAGGATTTAAGCATAAAAAACGAAGAAAATAGACAAAATACAAATTTTTGGTGTAGGAATGGCAGCTGGTGTAGGAGCAATTGCAGATCAAAACATACAGAATGTAAGTAATCCACAGGGAAGTATGTAACTCCTCTCCCAAAGCCTGGCTAATAGCAGAGGCCAAGTTGTTACCACCAGCTAAACAGATGGAAGCCCTGTTCTGGGAACTCCTCCTCTAGATGTGGGTCTGAAAAGTCTCTGAGGAAAGAATCAGCCAGTATCACTGCAACTGCATCTGCCATGGAACACCAACTCAGACCGAGAGGGACTTTTCTTCCCTTCCACATGCTGAACTGAAGGAGTCAGGCTAGCTCCCTGGCAAAACATCTCCTTCCAACAGGAAGGCCAGGGCAGGTCTGCAGTGACAGAGCTTTCCCTGCGAAAAAATAACCTTTTGTTGCTCTTGTTCAAACATTCAGTCACAAGCAGAAAGTGTACTTGGTTGGGATCCAGGTTCAAGCCCTCACTCTTCTTTCCTCTGTGTCCTTGGCCAAGTCCCTCCACTCAGCATCAACAATTGACAGCAGGCACTGTCTCTCACTGGGTGTGCCTGTGCTGGCAGGTACAGTCAGAGCTGAGCTCTGAAGCATGGCGGTACACAGGAGAGGTCAGAGTTGGCTGGATGCAAAAGGCATGGCTTATTCGTTCATACATAGCCCTGGAGGAATGTGCCTAGACATAGAAAGCTGGCACTGAGTGCATTTTTCTCCTTTTGGACCTCTGGCTCAGCTCTTCTGCAGGGCAGACATGCCCCATATGAGTTTCTCTCTGAAAGGACTAAATGATGGATGTTACTTTGACTGGAGCCTTACAGCTATTTCCTGGAGTCTGGGGTCGATCACATGGAAGTTTGTCTTCACTCTAGCAGGAAAGGGAGTGGCAGAAACCAGATTTCAAAAATAGAGATACTCCATTTGGAAAGTCTTTGGTCTCTGAAGCATTTGTAGAAACACCTCTTTCTAGTAATTCAACCCCATTGTAAGCCTTAAAGTGCGTATCTGCTGTGTACTGGATACTCACACACAGGACAAATTTACAAACTCCCCAGCTATCCTGGCAGGTCCTCACTCTGGCAGTAGTTGCAATGTGAGGGCCATAAATATATTCCATGAGAGCAGCTGCTTATATTTCCTACCAGTGTATTAGCATCTAATCCTCTTAGCTTCTTCATTCCTTTTGCATAATATTATTGTCCAGTAATATGAAACATAGAAGGTTTATTTTGAACCATGCTGTCCCTCCTTTGATTCAGGTTGTCTGAATCAATGCTCTAGCTCTGGCACTTGGCTTTTCCATTGACTGCTCCTGTGGCATTTTTGACCCACCAGGAATGTGGCTAAAGGGCAGCTGGAGCTTTCCTTCCTAGTGAACCTAGGGCAAAGTGTGGTTCATCTGAATCACTGCCTACCACTCACGGGGATGCCACCCCTTGTGCATGTGACATTCACTTGGTTTTCATACCACATCTCCATCAGAACCTGTCATCCTCCAAGAGTATAACAGGGATATCTTTCACACTGCCTGTGTAAACACCTGTATTTTCACCTGCCTTTCTAATGTAGCCAATCTCTAATGTGGGATACAAGAACCCCATTAGCAGGTTACTGTATGGTTCCCTGGGAGGTCTATGAGAAATTAAGTATATTGGTTTCAGCAGTCAACAGCTGAAATCCATGGATTTCTTCCCATGCATCCATCTGGCACCTGGGGCATAACGTCTAACTGTGAGCAGTGGAGAGACCTAGACACACAAAATCACCATGCTGATTATGCCAAGGTTAGAGAAGCACTTGCAGCAACTAAAAACACTGGACCAATGCTGACCCAAAGGGGAAAGCAAGGCATTAGCACTCTGCTTCTCAGCAATTCACAGGCTCCAGAATGCATGGCTGTACCCACTTTCCCTATCACAACACAAACTGCACCGCAAACTAGATTGCATTAGGAAAGCCCAGGAGACCTTCCAGTCCTACATTATATCATGTCTTCAGAACAAATATGACCAATGACACCTTCTCCTCTGGAAGACAGACTATGGGCTCTTCACCTCTGAGACATTTTCCAATAGATAGACAAAATCCATAGCCATTAAAGGAGTGCTGGTAAAGTCATTAGTATTAAATTGAATTACTATGCTTGGGCTTGAGGGTGTTTTATTGTTGGGTTTGATTTTTATATTGTTGGCTGTTTCACTGAAGAAGCTAGGATATAAGAGGGGCAGGAAACCTTTTAGGTGAAGGAGCATGTATCCAGTGGCAGCAGATCAGGAGGCTGGCTTTAATGATGACATTTTACAAATAACTGCATCTTTTAAAGAGTTTCCTACACTAAGCCAAATCCTGGAGGCCTTGCTTACCTCAGAATGTCATGATTAGGCCTGAAGTCTTTTATCAATGTTGTATGCCTGGATCCAGGGAGGAGTTCCACCTTTGCTGGAACTGCACGACCCTTAAAAAGCACAGGAAATACAGAACTTCAAAGGGCACTGAATGGCTCCAATCTGTAACATCTCAAAAGCTGTGGTTTATGCAGCCTCAAACCAGGTATCTACTGTTGGTTTGTTTGTTTTTTCTTTTTCTGAAACTCACCTTGTGTTTCTGTTCTCGCTTTGTCTAGACTCACAAAGCAGCAGCATATATAGATGGGAGAAAAGTAAGATGCCTATGTGGAGTACAGTGCTGAGGATCCCCTGTGCCCAGCAACCAAATAAGAGTTGGGAGGAAAGGACATGACTCTCTCTCAAACCTCCTTTGGTTGGTGTAAACGGCAGCCTAAAGGCTGACGGGAATTTCCCCCCTTCTCTCATTGTGGTCTGAATTGGCAATATTTCATTGAGGATGATGGAGCTGAGTAAAACAGCACTGCAGCCAGAGCAGCTGCCAAGAGGCCATCAGGCAAGACTTTGTCAAGACACATGGAGCTGGGCTGGGACCCAGCAGGTCCCTGTGGGGTCCTGACCCCTTCCACCAGGTCCAAGGCTCTTCTCCTCTCTCTGGCAGCAACACAGCCCCCTCCCCCAAGGCGTGCTGCTGCCGCTGAGCTGTGCGGCTGGAGGGGATGGCACATTGAAGCAATTTGCCAGGCTGCATGACAATTACTAACACAGATGCTCCTGTGTCAATATGGGCTCTTCTCTCTGTTCTGGTTACAGCAATGGGTGTGCCTGGCGGGGACTTCTCTCAGCACAGGCCAGTAGGATTATGGGGTTGGGAAGGGGCCATGTCTGCCTGGGCTTGCAGGGCCTCAGAGGCTGTCCCTGCTCCCTGTACTCCTTCTAGCCTGTTTGTCAGGGTCTCCAGCTGCCTGTCACCACCACACATTTCCCTCTGTGTCCTCCCTACACAAATACTGTGGCTTTGTCTCTGCAGCATCCCTGCCTTCCTGCCAGTTTGGTGGCTAGGGATAAGGGAAATGGGCAGTGTCCAACTCCTCCCGCCAAAGGCTCTGAATCTCTTACGTCCCCTCCTCCTTTCAGTTTCTTCTACTCTCACCCTGCTGCAATTGTGTCACTTTTAAAAGAGATATCAGTTATTGCACAAGTGCCAACACATTACACTCTCTACAGACACAAGAGAGGTGAGATGCAGCAGTTTTCACAAGGGTCAGGACAGGCATAAGGAACTACAGACAAATCCCTTTGCCCTCTGAGCAGTTCTAGGATCCATCTTCCCCTGTCGCTTTTGGACCAGCATCAAGGTCTAGATGGTTTTGCCTGCCAAAGCCTGAAATGTAGGGAAAATGTTCACATCCAGTAATTCAAATGTCAGCAGACCCCATCCAAATAGAGAAACGTCATCAAGTTGATATAAGGACCTCAACTAGATGCTGTTAATGGTACACACTGCCATTGCCCTGCACATGATGGTGCTGTCCTTCTGAGTGTCTTGGGAGACTCCAAAATCCCAGGAGATACGGTACAGTGATTGATCAGGTCTGCACGAACATAAGAGTCTTCCCTCTGGCTGCAGCTTTAGCACAAGGTGGAAAGATGAGCAGTCTTGGGCTATTTGTTGCCGAGAGCTGCCTGACCTTGCCCCTGCAGAGATGGCCTAGAGGGGCTGTGTCCAGTCATGCCAAGCCTATGCCTCATGGCTGCGCACTCACCAGCGCCTGTCCCAAACTGAGACATGGCACTCACTGCTGAAGGCTTAGTTAGAAAGCACTCTGCCGTACTTCTGCCAGACAGTACATCTTGAGATGATTTGAGATACTACCGCTTTCAGCTGCTCTTCTTTGTTAGCTACTTCTCGTCCCCTGTTTCCATCACAGGAGCACATCCTGCTTCCCACAGGCTGGAGCAGCTGAGGCACAGCCACGTGTTGCCCTCTGCCAACTCAGCAATGGCAGATGGGTCTCCGGGAGGGGGCCAGCAGGGCCAGTAAGCTGGGAGGAGATCACGTCTCTGACAGACTTCATTGCTCACCAAAGCAGTTTGGTAGCACACTACATAACACCAGGCTTTTCTGTTGCCCTGTAGTGATGGCTACTGTTGGCTTAACTCCAGGACAAAACCATCTCAGGATGTATCCTTGGTGCCTTCTGTCCTCTGAGGAGGCCAGCAAATAGGTCTGCAGCTCCTGCCAGACCTGCACCAAACCAGCTTTCTTCTGCTCCTCCTCTGCCAAAAAAGCTGTACTGTTCCTTTAAATGTGGTGCATGTAAAAAAAAAAAAATAATAAACTGACAAGCTCCCTCACTCTCAAAAGAGTGAGAAATTTTCATTGATTGATTTCTTCATGGCTTCTTAAACAGATAATTAATTCACCGTGAACCTGCGGACACACCGTCGTGAGTCGTTAATATTGTAAATTCACATATACTTCAATAATCGCCTGACCCCCCCGTCACCCCGAAAAACAGATAGCTGTGCAGCAAGGAGGAGGGGAATGGGGGGGAATCGATTTTCGAAGACATGAAGGGATCACCCAGCAAAGGGAAGCTATTGATTCTCTTTTATAAGACACCGCTATAATATTTATTCTTTTGTAAACAGAATTAACCTAGCATCATGGGTCATTCCTATCGAACAACTTTCCTCACATGTGCACAGCAATGTTGATTGTACCAGATGAGGTAGAAACATCCAAACTGCACCACCCACCCTGGCCCACACCTCAACATCTGCCCAGCTCATGCTGGCCATGTCTCAGTGCCATGGCACAAATGCAGCTGGTGCCAGGCTGGCCGCAGCAGGGATGGAGATGGGATGCGCAGGTATGAACTGCCCAGGAAGTGGCCACGCTCTTCTAACCAAGTGTTGATGGTACCATGGTGGTCCTGGGTTGTTTTGTGTTGGGGAGGAGGTGACTGGGGGGCTGCTGCAGCACAGACAGGCGTGAGGACCCCATCACATTCAATTTCTTCTCTGACCACCCATGGCAGGGGATGCAACCAAAGGGTGTATGCAGGGTATCACACACTAGAGCCCTGAGGCTTGGTGGTCCCTTGCACAGGGACAGCACAGAGACAAGAAGCAACAGGGCTGCCTGTTGCTGAGGCACAAAGCTGTTGCTTCTGGGAGGGACAACTGCATTTCACCCACATTAAAGTTCAACCCAAAAGGAAATAAGTACCTAAACGTGAAAAGTGACAAGCAAAAGCCAAGGGGTGGATTCCAGATCAAGCATCCCAATGAAAAGCCAACAAGATGTGACCTAGTCCAGGAAGGATCTGTAAATCCTGGCTGGAGCTGTCTTCCTTGTGTGTAGCTGCATCACCCTTCTCCATAACAGACCAGTCACACGTTCAAGTCTCTCAAAGATGCATCTGTGTGGGACATCACAATGTGTCTTGCATAGAAGTATATGCAAATCCTTGCCTTAGATACAGACACATGTGAGGTCTGAAAAGCCTGGGGGATGTAACCCTGAAACCCCTGGCTGCCCATCAACTCCTGAATCGCCCACCAAGTACCACCACGCAGTCCAAAGCAAAACCAGAAATCATAACAACACATGGTCTTCTTTTCATCTGCCTCACAGATGTGAAACCTTGTTTTCCAGCAAGGTCTTCCCAAGGACTTCTGTCAAGAGCCACCAACATGCCACAAGAGCTGTGACTCGGATTTTCAGAAAACTGAAAAAGAAAGATCATGCCTTCGTCACATTTCATGGGCTAAACCCAGAGCCCCTAGTGTAGAGAGGTGGTACGGGGATTTTAAGCTGAGGGATGGACCCTTAGCAAGGCAGCGGAGCCCAGTTCGGCGGCTGCCAGGAGGGGTCCGCTCGCTTTGCCTGGGCTGGCAGCGACAGGACGGCTCCGAAACGGCCCCTCCACCTGAGGTCCGGCCGTGCCAGGCAGCCGGCACTCCGGTTGCCTTCGCCTCGCCTTTCTCCCGTCCCAGCCTGCAGCCAGGGCAAGCAGGAGCGAGCGATAAACTATGTCAAAGCATTCGAAAGCAGAGGGGGAAGAGGCAGACGGGGGCCGGGCTGCAGCGGAGGGCCAGGCGCAGGCAGCGGAAGCCGTAATTAAAAGGGAGGCCGCGGGCAGGCAGGGCTCCATTCAGAGGGCTGACAAAGGGAGGGTCTGTGGAGCAGAACCGGGAGGCAGTGAAAGGAGGGGGCCCCGTGGCGCCCCTCGCCCGCCGGCACGGCACGGCACGGCAGAGCGGCCCGTTCGGCAGCGCCCGTCTGACCCGGCCGCTCAGGCTGCCATTCCCTGCACGTTAGCAGAGCCACGGCCTGCGAAGGGAGGGAGCACCAGGCCCCCCAGGTCACCTCCCAGCTGCCCGCCGGTAGACAAGCGCCTTTCCACTCCAGCAGTGCCCCTGAATGCACTAATTAGCCCCAAATCTTGGTGCTGGGGGAGGCCATGCCGGTCCTGTGACAGCCACGAGTGGCCTGGCCCTGAAGGGAGAGTCAACGAGGTCCTGGCTTCCCTGTGGCCGTGGGTGGGACGTGGTGGACGGAAGCCCTGTGCTGGGTATGGGGCCAGCCCTGTGGCACCCCTGTCTGTGAGGGCACCCCGTGGTGTGGGGGCTCAAAAAGGGGACTGCCTGGCCTTGTGTTTTCTGGGGGTCAGTGCTATGAAAGGATGGGGGGAGAAACGAACAAGAGGCCCAGAGCTTGTTGAAGGGCAGCCTGTACATCACAGTTAATGCGAGGCTCTTTCCAAAACAAAGGCTCTCTATGGCTTTCAACATATTTACACAACAGTGCACAGAAAGAGCAGCGAAGTGCCATCTAAAGGATTCCCTCCCCACCTCCACCCTCTTTGCCTTCCCTCACACAGCACATCTTCAGCACCCTCTCCTTCTCCTCAGACTTTTTTTTTTTGCTACAAATTCGTATTTTTCTCTCCTGACACATGCTTTACCTTTGAGGGACTTCCCAAGGCTTTGCTGTGAGGCATTCACAGGTGTGGTGCCCCATACGCTCCCAGTTGAGGACACTCAATGGAGAAGTTCATGAATACAGGAGTTCTAACACAGTGGGCACGTTAGGAAGATA